TGCGCTCCCCACCGCCATGGCGGCCAGGCCGGGCCCCGACGCGCTCGCAGCCTGGGCTGCGGCCTGGGGCGGGAGGGTGCGGGCCGGCTGAGGACGCGGCTGGCCCACGTGCGGCTCTCCCAGGCCCGGCTTCAGAGCCCGCGAGGCCGGGGTGCACGGGGGACGGGCCGCAGGGGTGAGGAAGGCCCAGGGTAACAGGTGCCTCACCTCGGCTGATAGGATTAACTCTAGGGCCGCAGAAAGAGGGAGCCCAGCAGCGAAATCCCAGGAGAGGGGGAGAGAGAGAGAGACAGAGAGAGAGAGAGGGAGCCTCTGGCGGCCAACGGAGGGCGAAAAGCACCGGACGGAGGCGAGCCCGCCCCACCCCCTCGGCCGTGGGCGAGGGCCCTCTGGGCCCAGTACCAGGCCTTCGTCCCCTGGGTCTGATGGGTGTGCGTTCGGAACTAGGTTTGGGCTGCCAAGTGCTGGGAGTAGGGCACTGTCGTTGACTTGGTGACCCCAAGCCTCCAAGGCCTGTCGTTGGCCTGGACTGGCCTAGGCCCTGCTCTACTGTGGCCTACACTCAAGCCACTGCGACTGGCCTACTACCCATCTGGACCTCAAGGTCCCACTGCTAAAAGAGAAGGTATGAAGATGTCTAAGGACTTTCCTCTTGTCTGGGGAAAGTTTTACAGTCCACTTTCCCCGGTCTTTGTTCTGTTATAAAAGTTCAATATTTCCTTGCCTTCTCCCAAATACAGGAAGAGTTACGTCTGTTTCTCAGTACAGATCTTTAACACACCCGAAAGTCCTGTGGTCAGAAATATAGTTTTTCGAGAGAAGAAAACATTGTATTTGCCTCATTCATGTGTCACACACTTGTGATCCCAACACTGAGCCAATTGAGAGTTTGTGGACAATTTAAGGTACACACCCACACCTTGTCTGGAGATAAACGAAAAGCTGCAGCCAGGGGTGCTGGTGGATGCCTTTAAAATGCCTTTATCCCAACTCTTGAGAGGAAGAGGCAGGCAGATCTCTGTGAGTTCCAGGCCACCCAAGTCTGTTACATAGTGAGTTCCAGGCCATCTAGGGCTATATAGTGAAATCTTGTCTTAAAAAAAAAAAGCCAGGTGTGGTGGCACATGCCTTTAATCCTGGGCACTCTGGAGGCAGAGGCAGGTGGATCTCTGTGAGTTCAAGGCCAGCCTGGTCTACATAGTGAGTTCCTGGACAGCTGGGGCTACAGGGAGAATCTGTCTCAAAAAGACCGGAAAAAAAAAGAGACCCCTTGAAGTATTTTTTTTTTTTTTTTAATTAGTGAAAAACCCAGTAATTAGGGAAAAAAGAAGATACTGCAACCGTCTCAAGACAGGCAATCAAGAAAAAGGCAAAACTGCTTAACATCGCACAGAGCACTGAAATACTATGTATAGGGTTTCAGAAGTACTGTGAGCCATGGCAGGGACAGAGACACAACTTTGTGCTGCCACCCTGAAGTCTGACATCATTCCTCATTTGCTTGGATGCAGAAAAGTCCAAAACTTTGCTTGTATGCAGAAAAGAATTTAAGAGCTAGCCAGTATGAAGCAGAATTGGGGTTTATTAAAGGACAGATTTAAAGCACAAGCACGAATAGAAAAAAGGTAAGACACAGGGCAGAGCACTGCTGTGGGCTTATCAGAGCTTGCTCTGCACTCATTGTACCAGTGTCAGGTATTCTGTTTTGATCAGCTTTGAATCTGTTCTTTTCAAAAGATGCCTAAGAAACCTAAATGAGATCACAGGTAAGTCCCTGAGGGGCCCCTGCCAGGTTTCAATTGATAAGGTAAAACTCCAGATCTATGGTATGTGTCTTTACAGTAAACAAAGTTAAGATTTGCTTGATATTCTCAGAAATATGTGGAGAAAGGAATGAGGCCCTACCGAAACCATGTAATTCTGGTCTTATGCCTGGTTCCTGGCTGTTTTAACATGAAATAACTACATATAAAAGAAATATTAATTGTATGTCTGCAGTTTCACAGCAGATGTTAATTATGCTGGAATTCTTGCTTTCCATGTATCCATGTCCTGATAATTTCTTCTTTCTACCCTGCCTTAGAATTATCTACAAAGGATATATTTCAAGTGCACCCCTACCACAGTAGATAACTGAAATCAGAAATAATATTGCACCCCATACATATGGTTTTCCTATGCCAACCAAGACGTAAAGTTTAATTTATAAATTAGCCACAGTAGATTAACAACAAAAAAGACAAATATAATAATGCACTTTAGTAGTTGTTTAAAACGAATGATTTTCTAGCATTTTCATTTTAACATTTTAGGATCCCTGGTGGCTGACAGTAAAGATAAGCAAATCAGCAAATTCCAAATTAATAAGGAGGGAGGACTGAATCTGGTCCACAGGGCAGTATCAAATCGTACTTCCAAGTAACAAAACAATATGCATTTCTGTAGGTAATCCCAAGCCCACATGACCCCTGAGGAACAGATTCTCAAACAACCTTAAGAGTAAAAATAAATTGGCTGATTTGAGCCAACTGTATGGTCTTAAACACCCAAAAGGAAACTATAACCAAAGATTAAAGTGATCAGTATATTTCTTTAAGAGTTCATGTGTATAGCCAAAGGCTATATAAGAAGAAACAATGCCAGACAGGAGATACCATCCTTTGCATTGTTGGCCAGAGTGGCCCAAGAGACTCCCAGACAGTAACCCAGTGTAGAACTGGGAAAAAGAACAGCAGACCCCAGTCTTAGCTAAAGGAATATTGGCAACTGATTGCTGCTAGATGAGGAAGAGTTGATCTTCCTAAAACAAAGGACTCTAGATAGGCTAACTAGATTTAGTGGATGGACTTGCACTAGAGAACATCTGGGAGCACTGACAACACAGTGGACAGTAACAGGGATGACATAGTATATGGGCTCCAGTCGGGGGAGGGGCTTTGGGAGGGTGCCATTTGGGATGTGGGTATATAGATGAACATGATTGGGATGTTCTGTATGATATACACAGAAAAAAATCAACAAAAAATAAATAAAAGAATTATTTATATCACAGTAAGGCACTATGGTTTATCAGGTAGTAAAATTGCCTAGTGAAAAGACAGTATGGGGTTGGGAAGGAGACAGACACAGCACATGACTAGAATCAGAAAACTCCTGAGTACCTTGGAGATAAAATTCAAACAGAGGGGATTTGGCCCATTACAAAGTCTTACATTTTCGTAACAGAAAATCGTAACATTTTACAGATGGGAAAACTGAGAGTTGGAGCTTGTAACTGGTTCACTGCTGCACTGACCAGAAAATAATCATGACCACGACCTAGTCCAGGCAAGCAGGCCTACAGAATCTATGTACTCTGGAAGGAAAATCTTTCCATTTCTAAAGGACCATGTGGCTACTCAGTTCTATAGATCTTTTTCAAACAGTCAATCACTTTTTCCCTTTTCTTCAAGCATCACCATATTTTCAGTTCTTCCCAAGAAATTGGTAATCTCTGTCTACAAAGTGGATATCACTTCTATAAGCATAAACAGATGTAGCAGGCAGTGTGAGGGGGCTGTGGTTCCAGTCTCCACTTTTGGAAAGAACATTTGTGCTGTCTGGGATAATCTAGTGGAAAAGTTCCTGTCATTTATTTCAAGGATAGAAACCAGGTTTTGGGGGAGAATAACCTAAATAAATGTAGCATCTAATCACTGAGCTCTGTCTGTAGAAGAGGGGGCAGAGTTGGCAATAAAACCAGTCTTACACTTCTTTGCAGAAGGATGAATCATACAGAAAAGTAGCCTAAAGAATTTGGGTGGTTTGAGTTTTATTTTCTAAAAATGTGAAACTTCTGAAAAATTTCATACTGAAGGAATGATAGGGTTTCTAAAACACAATGCTGGTAAATTAAGACTCACCATAATGGGCTCCCACTTCTAAAACTTCCTAGAACAGAGAGTCTCCTAGACCTGTACTAATCCAATACATACAGCTATATAATATATTTAGTTCCTTAGCCACACTGGCCACATCGACTACCCTATTAGTGTATAAATAGAACATTTTACCATAGAAATTGCCATTGGATAACACTTCTTTGCAGTAGCAGAGGTATACTGACTTTATAAAGGTTAACATAGTACAGTAGCTCACTAATATAATAACCTTAGAGGACATTTGTTTTACTTATTGCAACTGGAGAGGGGACATGCACCTCAGTATTGGAATAGAAAATGTCCAAATTGTGTTGGAATTTTCAGGGTTTTTTGTTTGTTTTTGGTTTTGTTTTGTTTGTTTTTTATCTTTTTGAGACAGGGTCTCTCTGTAGCCCCAGCTGGCCTTGAACTCACTATGTAGACCAGGCCGGCCTCAAACTCACAGTGATCCACCTGCCTCTGCCATCCTAGTACTGGGATTAAAGGCATGTGCCACCACGTCAGGTTTGCAGTTTTCATATATGATTTGTCAACATTTTTTAAAGTTGCATAAACCAGGTGTGGTGGCATATGCCTTTAATCCCAGCACTGGGGAGACTGAGGAAGGATGGTGTTCAAAGCCAGCTTGAGCTACATAGCAAGACCTTGGAGTAAAAGAAAAACAAAAACAACCACATAGACTATTGTAGGCTACTTTCCTTTTGCGACAAATAATACACAGACTAGGAAAAATAGATCACAAGATTAGTTGATTTTAAAAAATGCAAAATATAACTGTGATAGTTAAACTTCATTGATTAGATTGGGAATCACTATGGATATACACCTCTGGGTGTGTCTATAAGGATATTTCCAGAAAGATTTAACTGAAGAGGGAAGGCCCACCCTGAACGTAGGCAACACCATCAATGGCATGGGTTCCCAGACTGGGCAAAAGGGAGAAAATCAGCTGAGCCTCCATTTTCATTTAACTCTACTTCCTAGCTGTGTGTGCAGGGTGATGACCAGATGCCTCATGCCCTTGATACCATGCCTTTCCCACCATGATCAAACTGTAAGCCAAAGCAAATCTCTTCCTCCAGTTTCTATTGCCAGGTATTTTGTTACATTAATGAGAAAAGTAACTAATGCAGTATTCTACTTTACTAAGAGATTTTCTCAATGTAAATTTTTTTTTTTTTTTTTTTTTGGTCTTTTTGAGACTGGGTCTCCCTGTAGCCCCAGCTGGCCTGGAACTCACTATGTAGACCAGGCTGGCCTCAAACTCACAGAGATCTGCCTGCCTCTGCCTCCCAAGTGCTGGGACTACAAGTGTGTGCCACCACACCCGGCTTCAACGTAATTTTTAAGTATTGTTAATGGATATATTGAGTAGTCACAGAAATTTTCAGGTATGTAAGTGAAACATTGAATTCAGTTATCAAATTAGAGTGAGAGGAAGCCTGGATCATGACTAGAGAAAGATAATTGGGCATATTGGCTCACACAGTTCCAACACCCAGGATGCTGAGACAGGAGGATCCCCATGCGTTCAAGGCAGTCTGGGCTTCAAGTGAATTCCAGGCCAGGCTGGGCTGTGGAGTAACTGTATTGCTACTGAAGACCACCCATCATATTATCATTTATAATAGGACCAGGTGCAGTGGCTTACCCTTTGTAATCATAGTACTTAGAAGGCTGAGACAGGAGGATTGGCACAAGTTAGAGGGCTAGCTTGGGGTACATAGTGAATTCAAGTCCAGCCTAGGCTAGAGCTTAAGATCTTACCTTAAAAACAACAACAACAAAAATATATATAAATCGTGTGTGTGAGTGAGTGTGCATGCATGCGTGCATGTGTGCGTGTGTATACACACAGGAGGGTACCTGGGTGGTGCAAACAGAAGTTCATGGAGAAAAATTATAGAACAAATTTAAAGATCTATACACTAACATCTTTATAGAGAAGGAAAACTAATGAAAGATCAATCCCCACAGGTAATTTTACACATAATTTTATTAAGTTTACTTATCAAAGTTATAGTTATAATACCTTCATTCCCATTGATAAATATCATTGTGCCTTTATTAAAGCGCCACCTTTAAAAAAAAAAAAAAAAACTCCACTTAAGTGAAAATAGTGATATTCCCAGTGCAGAGAAGGCTAAGGCTGGAAGATCACAAGTTTGAAACCAATCTGGGCTGCTTAACAATACCCTGTGTCAAAACTAAATAAATAAAATTACATGGTAGAATCCTCAGACTTGCATTCTGAGTACAGTGTTAGAGCAGACAGATATTTAAAAAATAATTTTTAGTGCTATACAAAATGATGGGTTTCATTATGCATTCTCTACACATTTGCCACGATACTGTGTTCTTGTTGTTTGCAATGATTAGCTATAAAATTAAGATTAAAGCTATCACTTCTGCCCAAATATATTGAGAGTGGTTCATGTGGCTTTAATTCCTTCCACTATCCCATCCATTTCCAACTCTAGGACTTAACAAGTATCTTGACTTTTCAGCCTAACATAGGATCATGAAAACTTTGTCTATTCGCTTTTTTATTTGCTGTAAGAACTAAACTGTAGAACTTCTTGGGATCCCTTAGGGTCATTTTAGAGCTATTATTATATCTTAGCTCTACAAATAAACTGTAGTGGATTCATGTAGTGTTTAAGCTAAGTGATGCAGCCTTTTCTTCTCTCCTATGATCATTTTGTTTGGTTGCCCCGACAAAACGCGGACAAACAGGAGTTTTAGTGAACTAGACTGACATGGTATTCCCATTACTATCACTGCTTCTATGGTTGAGACAGCAGCTGCTACAGCCATTAGTTTTAGTTTTCTGTGGGTTCTTTATCATTGCTTTGGGGTTTTTCTGAGATGGGGTCCTCTGTAGCACAAATTGGGCTCCAACTCTGTATGTAGCTGAGGATGACCATGAACTTCTAATTCTCGAGTCTCAGCCTCCCAAGTACTGGGATTATGGGTGTGCACCACCACATCTGGTCTCTCCAGGCTCCTGGCTTTCAGTTTTGTAGGGGTGTTAAGTTGTGTGTTTAAGGACCAGTGTGCAGAAGCCCATTTTACTTCCAGTAGAGTAGCCCTCCAGTGAGAGGATTCCAAGGGAAGTCTTCTACCTGCTAATCCTCTGCCTACAAGTTGTATCTGAACTCTGCCTTCCTTAAGATTGGCATGTTGTTGATCTGACTTTAGAATAATTTGTTATTTTAAGACTGAAACAAATGGAAGAGACACGGTGATCCTTTCTTGAGAGAATAGTTAGCGATGTGTCAAAATTGAGATTCAAATTGAAGACATTTTACTGCAACTCATATGAAGTCGTCCTTTACCCTAGAGATGCTAAGCCTACTTGTTGGGCTATGCGAAAGCATCACTCTCTACACACAACTGACAAGGGAAGACACTAGGCAAGACACTCAACTGTGCGCATTAGAGGAAAGGAATCTACAAGAAGCAGGATTTCAGTAGTTTCTACTCTGTATTCTAGTCTTGGTGAGTTAACTATTAAAATAGAGGAACACTTGTGATTGCCTGCAAATAAGCAAGAACTTTCTGTGACTTTATTCCACTTCCAGTCTAGTTCAAATAATGAAACTTCCTTGAGGAGGTCTGTGATAGTCCCACTTTACACATAATTCACATTTTAACAGACTGCATTTTAAGTGAACTGTAGTGTAAAATTTGTATATGTACTTATCAGGCTTTAGAAATAATTCAATATTAATTTGTTCTGAAGTTGTTAGTATATTTTCCATAGTTTTCTTGTAGCGGTGGTTGTTGTTTGCTGTTTCCTTTGTTGGGTTTGTTATGTTTTGCTGAGAATAGGTCTCTCTGTAGATCCCAGACTGGCCTCAAATTCTCCATCTTCCTGCCTCAGCCTCCTAAATGTTCAAATACCATTGTGTGCATCTACCACACCAGGCTTTTTTGTTTTGTCTTGCTTGAGACAGGGTTTTGCTGTGTAACCCAGCTGGTCTGATACTATGTAGTCCAGGCTGGCCTAGAACTCATAGTAATCCTCTTGCTTCCACATGTGACTATGTCTGGGTCCATAGGTCCTTAAACAGCCACAATCCTATAGCTAGCAAAGACTTTTATCACTTACTTTTTAAAAATTTATCAACACTGGGTCCTGAAGCCAGGGCCTTACACATACAAGGCAAGTGCTCTACCCTGAGATACAGTCCCTTTTCTTATTTATTTTGAGACAGGGTCTCTCTAAGTTGCCCAGTCTTCAGTTACCATTATTTAAGACATTGTTTCAGATAAAGGTCAAAAATGTCGTAATACCATACGAAATTGTATATATCAAATTTCCAAATTGTATGAATAACAAACCATTATCCTTATTCAGTGGCAGATCTTGAGCTGCCGGCTCACTCCTTCTTGTCCTGGGATAGCACTCAGTTATCAGATCTGCAAATAGTACTGGTCTTAGAGAATTGGAGTCTTCTTGAGTAAGCTGCTATGGTTATTCACCATTCAGCTGGTATACATGATGAGAGTCTGAATCCCTGGAAGGATCATATGCTTTCCAGGCTTGTTTTGTATTGTTGGAAGGAAGCAATTTTCAAACAGAAATTGTAAGATTTTAGATTTCTAAAAGTATATGCATATAGAAAGGTAAAGTAATTAGGTAATTTTGTGTCTGCCATGGTCTAATTTAACAAAACTTTTAAATTCTGTGTTTGAATTTTTCTGAAGAGAATTTTCTAAGCACAGCAATACCAAACAAAATGGATGGGTTAAGAATTATTTGGTGAATATGGGTAGTTCACAGATAGCTCCAGACCTATCAATAAGATCCACATTCTCTGGGATAAATGGAATCCAACTTTGGAGACTTCAGACTTTGTTTCTGGTAACTTTCTGCACTTCAAGTCAAATGTCTGTTCCTTATACCAATTTACTTTTAAAGGAACACTCTGCACCAACCAAGGTGGTACATGTCTACACCAAAAAGACAAGATGCTGGGTTTTACCATATTAACTTTTTTTGAGACAAAGTCTCAGTGGGTAGTCCAAGTTGGCCTTGAACTCAAGATCCTCCTACCTCAAGCTTCCTAGGGCTGAGATTAGGGGACTGTGCCACCACACCCAGTCTCATATCAAATTTTAACAAAGCAAACAATATCTTATCAATTTTGTTAATACAAAGCAGCATGGTGAACCACTGAAAACAACATTCAGCTGCATCCTCAAAGGAAATGAATTGTACTTTATGATCCTGAGACTAAAACACATTATGCAAGGTAAAATTCAGTTGATACGAATTAAGCTTATATTCAATGATTAAATTCTATGGTAAAAATTTTTTTGAAAAGTTATTATCCTTTCCAAGAATGTAAATTTGACCTGATGTAGCTTTAAAGGGAAGGAAGGTAAATTTTGTGGATTGTTAAAAATTTTGCTTTGTGGGCTGAGGAGATGGCTCAGTGGGTAAGAGCACATGCTGCTTTTCCAGAGGACCCCAGCACCCACATCAGGAGGTTGACTCACAGCAGTCTGTAACTCCAGCACTGGACTCATGTGCTCAAACCCATACATGGACACATCCATGTATACATAATTTAAAAAATATTTTTTTAAAAATTGCTTTGTTCTAGAACTTAATGTAATCGGAAACTATTTTGTGGCACCTGAATAATTTGCTTATAATAGATCACATATCTGTGCCTTTGTGTGCTATAACTTAACTTGTACAAAGTATTCATGTCTTCCTAATTCACGAGCCTCATCTCAAGAGCCTCAAAAATTAAGCAAGGCTAGCAACATACCAAATGATAGGCTATCACATGCTCTCCCAAAGGACAGTTGGATCAAGACCAAATGAGCTATTTAGATGCATAAAGTCATTTATTATATATTGTAGAGGAGTCTATGAAAAGCAAATGCTCCAGGGAAAATTTAACACAAAACTTAAATTTGACACTGATATGCTGTAGGATGAATGCTGACCCAGAAACTTGCATATTTACCGTAAGTTTAGTTTTCAGAATACTTGTGTGTCATCGCCACCTTTTAAAACCGTCTTCATCTCTTCTTTGGGAGTTTCAAATCACAAGGTTATTACTGCTTTATTTTGTTTTAAATGAAACTGTCTCTAGTTACAGAGGATATGACTTCTCTATAATGTTTGGTATATAAAGCCAATTAATACGAGGACTCTCGAATACCTGTGACAAAAGTGGGAGGGGGTAGACTTTGAGAGGAAGAAAGGAATCAGCAAGAAGAGGACAGGAGGTGGCACTCTGTAAATACAATGGCACGTACATTAGAAAATGTCATGGTTAAGCTCATTATTTTGTACTCTAACTTAAAAAGCAATTTAATAAACAAGAAAGAAGGACTGGTGAGGTGGCTCAAGGAGTAAAGGTACTTGCCTCCAAGCTTGACCTGAGTTCAATCTCCAGGACCCACATGTCAGGAAGAAAGAACAACTCCTGCAGATTGTCATCTAACCTGTACAAACAAACACACACACACACACACATACACACACATGCACGCATACCCCATGGCACATAGATAAAACATACCCCTCCTAAAATAAATCTAGAAACCGTCTACACCCATGTGCTTCAGCCGTATCCAACCCAGATAACGCAGTCAGAGAAACAGTTTGTGGTGTTTGAGGGAAACCATTATTTCTACTCTCCCTATCCAACAAAGAGCCAGACCATGCAGGTAAAACTTGCCTCCTGAAACGTGGAGAGCCACATCAAGCTAGAGAACCCCACGCACTCTGAGGATGTCCTGGATTATGGGCCTTTCAAAGATGTAACTGCCTATAGTCAGGATAGTTTTAAAGTACACTAGGAGAACAACAGCCCTTTCCTAACCATTACCAGTATGACCCGGGTCACTGAGATTTCTCACTGGGGTAATATTGCTGTGGAAGAGAATGTGGATTTGAAGTGCACAGGCTCTGTGCCGAAGGGACCTTTCTCCCGCTATGATTACAGAGACAGCCAGACAGTGGAATCTCTTCCTTCCACTCTTTTAAGACCATCCTGCCTGCTGCTGCCCAGGATGTGTACTACTGGGATGAAATTGGCAATGTTTCCACCAGCCACCTCTTTATTTTGGATGACTCTGAGGAAATGAAAATCCGGCCTCAGTTTCCTCTCTTTGGCAGGTGGAAGCCACACTACATCATTGGCTACAACCTCCCAAACTATGAATACCTCTATAATTTGGGTGACCAGTATGCACTGAAGATGAGGTTTGTGGACCATGTGTTTGATGAGCAAGTGATAGATTCTCTGACAGGGAAGATCATATTGCTGGAGGGGGCCAAGAACATCCAGGTGGACAGTCCTTATATCAGTTGTGCTCCAAATGAGCTGCACTACACTTGCCTGGACACATTTGGCTGCCCTGTAATTGTTGCCTATAAGAAAAATCTAGTTGAGCAGCACATTCAGGACATCATGGTGCACTATACTTTCAACAAGGTTCTCATGCTGCAGGAGCCTCTGCTGGTGGTGGCTGCCTTCTATACCCTGTTTATTACCCCCATCATCTATGTCCGTCTGGACTTCTCCATCACCAAGAATCCAGCTGCAGAAGCCAGGATGAAGTTGGCCTGCGTCACAGAACAGGTCTTAAGCCTGGCTAACAAGAGATTAGGCCTCTGCCTTCACTTTGATGAGACCATCAATAGGTACAAGCAGTCCCGGGATGTCTCCACCCTCAACAGTGGCAAGAAGAGCCTGGAGACAGAGTACAAGGCTGTGACCAGTGAGATTGCAGTTCTGCTGTCTAAACTGAAGATGGAGGGCTCTGACCTGTGTGACAGTCAGCGAAATGCAGAAGCTGGACTCCCAGGTCAAGGAGTTGGTTGGCACTTAAGTCGGCAGTGGAGGCTAGGCTGGTGGCTGGCAAGCTCAAGAAGGATACATACATCGAGACCGAAAAGGTCATCTCAGGGAAGTGCCAGGAGCTGGTAACCAAGATCAATCACATTCTGGATGCTCTGTAGCTTCCTCCAGAGCACCTTTGATTAGCAAAAGACCTCAAGGAAGAGAAGCCAAGGCCTACCTTAGGCAGTGTAAGAAAGTTATCCCGTATTTCTAAGTGTTTCCCTTTTTTTTCAAACTTAAAAACTCATTAAAAACCAAATGTTTGTATTTTGAGCAAAGGCCTTTTCAGTAGCTGATTGGAATTGTGTTGTTCTGATACCTGGTATATTTTTTTCAGCTTAAAATCCTGTTTTGTGCCCTTGTAATTCCTAATGTTTGGTTATTTTGTGAGTGTATGCATGGCTTTTTCCGAGTGTGTATGGCCAAATGAAAATAAAGGAGGGACTGTGAAAAAAATGGAATTAAAAATTTTAAATAATAAACACAATTTTAAAAAAGAAACATAAAGACCAAATAATTCAGAACTCACCAAGAGACCAATAAAAACAACATGTGATGTTTACAATAGAACTTTAACTTGTAAATTTGCCATATGGAAATCAAACACAGAATTGATTTTCAGTAATGGTGGGATTTGGAAATGTAGAAAAAGTGAACTGCCTTATATTAGTAGGGTAAAGTAAACTAATTATATGGCCTGTAGATACTTTATTCAATAAGTTAATAATGCCTCTCTATGTTCCTTGTTCATAAGAAGCTTATGTGTGTTTAAGTTCCTGACATAGAAAGCTTAGCATCTAATTCCCTAGCACATTTTAGCTTTAAAAACTTAATGGTGAATATTAACTTTTTTCATCTTTGTGAAGGATAATTGGAAAGCAGTATTTAAAATATACACACTTACACACACACACACACACACACACACACACATACAGCGAGGCTGGAAAGATGGCTCAGCAGTTAAGAGCACCTAGCTTTCACCAAATTCAGTTCCCAGCCCCCACGTCAGGTGGCTCATACTCCCTGTAACTCCAGCTCTAGGGGATCCCACACTCTCTTCTGTCTTCTGTGGGCACCTTCACTCATGTGCACATACCACCCCCCAACACACACACTCATACGCATAATTTTAAACTTTAAAAAAAAAAACTCTCTCTCTTTTAAAGAATACTCTAAAGAGTACTGCTCTTCTAGAGGACCCAAGTTTGGTTCCCAGCACCTATGTCTGGTGGCTCACACCTGCCTGTCACTCCTGGTCTTGGAGTTACTAAGCCTTCTCACCTCTGTACCCGAACACACATGAAATACTCACTAATATACACATAAATATTAATAAAACCAAGGCTTTTTAAAAAACATAAGCAAGGTATGGTGCTGCACATTTATAACCTTAATATTTGGGAAGTAGAGGTAGGAAGAGCAGGAGTTCAATGCAAACTTGAGCTACATAGCTAGTTTGAAGCTAGCCTGGAATACTTTAAAAAAAAATTATACTGGGCACAATTGGCACATCCCTTTAATCCCAGCACTTGGGAGGTAGAGGTAGGCAGATCTCTGTGAGATCAAGGTCAGCCTGATCTACATAGCAAGTTTCAGGCTAGGTGGGACTACAGGAGACCCTGTCTCAAAAAAGACCAATAAATAGATGAATCAATCAATCTAATTTGAAAAGAACAAATTACATTACAAAATTCAGAAAATATCTCATTTGGTAAAAGTATCATATTCATTGGCTCCAAACTGTGTGTGAAAATCAGATTCTCTAGAGAGATTAATCAGGTTCAGATTCCTGAGTCTAGGCCAGCCCCTCTGATTAAGAACCTTTGCAATAAGCTCTAGTTAACTCTGGAAGGTTCAATTCTTCAGTGCAGTAGAACTGGAGACAGATGTTTGTGAAACACTAACTAGGCAATGAAACTGATATTTGACTCTATTAAGCTGATACTGTTTGGTGGGCCCTGTATAGTAGGCTCTCATAGATTATAAATAAAGGTACATTGTGGGACTCTGGGAAGGAGGGAGGCGAAACAAAGCAGACTCCTTCTTCCTTGTTATGCTTCTTGTTAGAGAGGATTAACCCATAGGGCATGGTAATGCACAGCTTTAATTCAGGCACTGAGGAGACTGAGGCAGGGGGAATCTGTGAGTTTGAGGTCAGCTTGCTTGACAAAGCAAGTTCCAGACAAGCCAGAGCCAGATCCTGAGACACTGTTCTAAAAAAAAAATTTAGGGGCTGCAGAGACGGCTCAGCAGTTGGGAGCACTGACTGTTCTTGCAGAGGACCCAGGTTTGATCCCCAGCATCCACATGGCTGCTACGAACCCTCCTCAACTCTAGTTCCAGGGGAATCTGACCTCTGCAGCATGGCACAACACAGGTGCACTCACATACGTGCAGCAATACACTCATATACATAAAATAAAATTAAAAAATATATTTGTATATATATGAATTTAAAGGGAAGACTAACCCTGGTTTTTGGTCCAGTTAATGCTGACAGCCACTGTTTTGTAATTACTCTCCTGATAAGCTCTCTACCTT